ATTAGCCATTCCAGGACTGGCCAATATATCGCTGGATGCATCTCTCATTTCACTCCTGTTGTCCAGGATGCACTTGGCAGCTGTGCTCGGACAGGTACTGCTGCCTGAAATAGTGCTTCAATAATGTGAGGGGCAAAGGCAGGGAAGTTAAACGTTCCAGAAATCACAGAAACGAAAATTTAGTACGGGCACTCGGCTCTTACAGTAACCCCTTGGCTTGACCACCACCCACTCCCGGGTCCTTGCCCAAGGCCCCTTTTCGACGCGTCCAATACGTGAAGGGTGAAAATTTGTGTGCAAACACGTGCGGATTACTGTAGGAGCCGAGTGCTGTTCTGAATTTTCGTTTCTATAAAGGAATGTAGTTAGAGTGTACCGTTTACTTAGTTATTTAGTTATTTTCTTATTGAATAAATTGCAATGAACTTTTTGGCAAATTTCCATGCTTAATTTATTATTATTGTCATTATCATTCACAAATGCTAAAAGATTGAGTCGTCTGTAAGAGCAATTCGATGGCCTTTTTCAAAACATGTCGTTCTTGGTAGGTAATCTCAAATGAAGGCGGAAAATATTGTTCATCAAATGAACTGTAAACATTACGAGCGTTCAGCCCGACGGGATCCGAACCCAGTACTGTGCACACGGCGTATTTTTTTATCCATTACATCCATTAAATTTGAGTCCCATCATGACCCAGAAGCTCTGCGCTCGTGACAGTCCTCTTTCGTGAACAGCATAGAGAAATTGCGTCCCGCCCAATCGAAAGAGTGGCTGCTTTCATAGTCCACGATTTGGCGAGCGAGCGAGCGACCAGTTGCGCGACCGATCGTGCGACTAGTCGCGCGACTGGTCGCTCGCCAAATCGCGGACTGTGGAAGCAGCTAGTGAACCCGTTTTGCGTTGTCTCGACGTGACGGATGGTTTTAACTGATCATACGTACGTAGGTCCCCTGCTTACCATTTATTCCGTTGGTTGACCGCCACAGAATTTTTGTGCGGAAATGGAAAAGTGGCTTGAGCAACGATTGGCTACCTTGATTCATCTACAAGGTGAACACAGAGTCATTTGGCTTAAGTCTCTAAAAATTCTGAGTAAAGTTTGAAAACATGGTTCCTCTTAGACTATTTGATCATCCACTACTTTGCTCATCCAATATGAGAAAAGAATTTACCTCAAAAACTTTTTTTAACAATGCTGCAACTTCTTTATTGAAAAACAACAACGTCCATGGAACCACAAACGAAAGAAATCCCGACACTATCGGATGGATCAATTGCAAGATGACTGGTGGATGTATCTGAAAATTCTAGATTTGACTCACTTTCTTATCCTTCTTGGAGGATTATGATACTGTGGCCATTGCTTGGACGCGCGGCTATCGAGCGCCTATTGGTGCGTTATGAGCCCCGATTGGTTCATGGTGTACGGTAGCCCTTAGCTAGTTGCCTTGTCGCTGTACCTTATGCGATTCGCAAGGGTGCGCTTCGTTGCGCGTGTCCGGCGAAACTAGGTCACGCCGCAGCCGACGCACGCGGCGGTCGGTCCGCGATATTTGACAGACGTCGCAATTGTCACTGGGGCATACGCTTTGCGTTTGGTCCACAGCAGTCAGCTCAAGAAGAAGATAACACAGACAAATGCAAATCATTTCCATTGACACTTGGTAGTACTGTAATGTCATCTCGAGACCTCAGTGTGATGCGCCGCGCGCGAATTGGGCGGGGTGACCTACTTTCGACGGACACGCGCAACGGACGTTCTCCGATTCGCAAGCGTCCTTAGTTGGCCCATCCACTGGCACTTTGCCAAACCTGCTAAATTGTTCGGAAAAGAATCTGCCCAAATGTTCGCAACAGTCCAGATTTTTTCTGGTATACTGTGGAAGTTCTCAAAGATTCGGCTTCCTATTCTTTGCCTAATTAGTTCAGTACGCACTTCTTTCCATCGCTTCGTGAACTTCAATCAAGTAGGTCGAAGACGAGCTTCGATTTTGTGGACCAGCTGTGCTATCATGGAATCTCCAAATCTGGACCACTGTGAAATTTTCGGCAGATAATTTCTGCACACCCTAATAGCCACGTCCCATCTGATCGACACTACGACTTGTTTATTAATAACCATAGCTGATAATGTAAGGAAGCTTTTCGATCATCCAGTCGCAGCAGCGATTCGAGGAAACTTGATACTAACAATTGGTAAAACCGCAGACCCTCTTATGCTGTTGGTGTGCAGCAGCTGTGGTACAGACAGCATAAAGTCCATCCACCACTTTGGACCCGGAGAAAGGACTAAGTTCAAGGGCTCTTATAGAAGTGTTGTTGTGATTATAAATGTTTAAAGGTACTGTTCACGAAAAAATGGTTTCGGAGATTTCCACATAGTTTGAATTCGACGCCCCCTCTGATACCATTTGTGCAAGAATGAGGTCGGAAATCGGCTGGATAGGGCACAATAAGGGGCCGGAGAGTTATCCACGGTCGCCCTCCGCCCCTCGCTAGGCTGACTACGAGTTCAAATTGTCCTTCACCACTTTCGCATTGGAGCGA